TTCCCTTTGTAGGTGGATTTTGGCACAGCACCTTGATTGATAGAAATCTCATTGACTACTTTGTTCCCTTCCTGCCTCTGGAATACAAACATGTGAAAATGTGTGTCAGGGTTGAGATTAAATCCCGTGGCTATGCTGTGGATGAAGACATTCTAACCAGAATAGCTGACGAGATGACCTACTTCCCCAGAGAGGAGAGAATTTATTCAGATAAAGGCTGTAAAACTGTGGATGCAAAGCTGGATTATTACTATGACTTCTAACACTTTATTGCTACAACCTGGAAAGAGGCAAATTTAACTTAATCACAACGTGAAGAACCTGGGACATTTCATTTTTAAGCACTTTTTTAAAGAAAGGAACATTACTTCTTTCCTGGTGTGTAAATAAGTGGCAGTGCCTCTGCATTGGTATTCTGTCACTAGTCATGGCTCCCAAGTACTTCAGCCTTGTGTTGTCAAGGTAAGAACAAACTGTGTTGTGAATGTGGGAGTCTGTGTCTGACAGTGCTGAAGATGCCTCTTGGATCATGTGTCAGTCGTCAGAACCATTTGCAGACTGTTGGCACCTATGGAAGGACTGAGACTATGACCTAATTTTAATTGGATTTTGGGTTGTTGTGATGATCTCTAGACAATACTGAAAATTTTAATCAAAGTTCCTATGTCTGCGTGTCAAACCAAGCTATGAACCTGTTTCATGTGAGTGGTGTTCTGAGGGTAGATTTAGTATTACAAGGAAGTGAGTTAAAATCCTGGACTGCCACATCAGTGTAGTTGGTTCCTGTTTTTGTTACTTTTTGACCTATAATGTTGTCCACAACATGCTCGCCCAGGGGTGAGTTCAGGTTTGCTTTCTGACTGGTGAGTCAGCTGCATGGAAAGGGTGTATCAAGGAAATGTGTACAGGTGAAATTTTACATGAAGGAAATGGGAAAGAGGTTTCTCCTCTTCACCTACATTTAGAATTCAGGGGACAGCTAGAAGGGTTTTCCCTTTTTCATCTTCTTGCAATATACTGTGTGCCTTTGAGGCAGGGATGAAGACAGGTCTAAAAACAAGTGAAACATGTCAACTGAAGTTACTGCAGAGAGTGTCAGACTTTGTTTCTGAGTAAGCCCTGCAGAGGCTTTTTGTTTTCATGCCAGTTTCTATTCAAAATAAAGTTTTCTCATCCTAAGTGTATTTCTTAGCTACCTTCTGCTGTTCTTTGCATTGAGCAATTTGATGTTGATTTTGCACAAACTTCCCTGTTGAGGAAGAGCATGCAGTTTCTGGCTGATGTGTTCAGCTGTGCTTGAATATAGGTATCTCCTTTCTTGAGTTCAAAGGGGATAGGTATGAGGAGGAGTTGCAACTCGGATACCTGGTGAAAGGGAAACAAAGGAAACTTGGAGTGGAAACTGCACTTCTAGACCATTGGTACTCATTACACTTGCACATGTTTTGTAGAGGCAGACTTTTTAGGGGTGTATGTGCTCAGCAGTATCGTAAGGATAAGACACTAATTCAACCCCTGCTTCTTGTCTCCTCCTGCCACTGTGGTACAACTGGCTGAACACCCCGCAGGCTCTGATTGTAGCCACCCATGGTTTTAGTGGCAGGAGCTTGAAGTTTTCTCTGCAAGGGGAATGAAGGGGCCAGAAGCACTCTGACTATCCAGTTCTGCTCTGAAGTTGTGTAGTATGCAAATTATCAGTCCTGGTATTTGTCAGCAAATTAGTGCTTTGAACTCGGGTATTTATTTCTTTGACCTCTTGATTATAGTAAATAATGGAAAAAAGCAGATGTGGAAATGAAAAACTTTTATTGCTTTCTGGTGCCTTCTCATCAAAAGCAACGGTTCAACCCGGCAGTATTGTGGCTCTTCCAGCATTAAATCCTCTTAGTTCTGCTTTGTGTGCCATTGCAGCATCAATACCAGCATCTGACGTACATTGATAGCAAGTATTTTGTTATATCATAGCCCTAGATGGCTTAGGGTAGATCGAAGCTTCCTCTGGAGCATGTAGGAATGATGTTGAAAGGGTGGAGACTTCCTTTGTTTGCTCTTCCAGTGTTGAAGACCTGGTTAGGATCATCTCCATTTCAGTAAAGGAAATTTGTGTGCATGAAATCACTCCCAGATTTGATCCTGTTGTTATTCCTCCCCTTTAGACTGCATGGTCTCAAAGCTCAGGTCCACACTCTGTCTTTCTTGCTGTGACTGGGTAATTTTGCCCATTATTAATAGGTGGTGTGGTTTAACACCAGCTGGTAACTAAGTGCCACACAGCTGCTCACTCACCACCACTCCTGATGGGATGGAACAAGGTAAACCCCACAGGTTGAGATAAGAACAGTTTAATAACTGAAATAAGAGATGCACAGTACAATTGCTCAACTGATGCCTAGCTAGTCCCTGAGCAGTGTTCAGTGGTTCCCAGCCAACTCCCTCCCTTTTTATATACTGGGCATGATGTTCTGTGGTATGGAATATCCCTTTGCTAGTTCAGGTCAGCTGTCCTGGCTCTGCTCCCTCCCGGGTTCTTGTGCATTCCAGTGTTGAAGACCTGGTTAGGATCATCTCCATTTCAGTAAAGGAAATTTGTGTGCATGAAATCACTCCCAGATTTGATCCTGTTGTTATTCCTCCCCTTTAGACTGCATGGTCTCAAAGCTCAGGTCCACACTCTGTCTTTCTTGCTGTGACTGGGTAATTTTGCCCATTATTAATAGGTGGTGTGGTTTAACACCAGCTGGTAACTAAGTGCCACACAGCTGCTCACTCACCACCACTCCTGATGGGATGGAACAAGGTAAACCCCACAGGTTGAGATAAGAACAGTTTAATAACTGAAATAAGAGATGCACAGTACAATTGCTCAACTGATGCCTAGCTAGTCCCTGAGCAGTGTTCAGTGGTTCCCAGCCAACTCCCTCCCTTTTTATATACTGGGCATGATGTTCTGTGGTATGGAATATCCCTTTGCTAGTTCAGGTCAGCTGTCCTGGCTCTGCTCCCTCCCGGGTTCTTGTGCACCTCCTCACTGGCAGAGCACGAGAGACTCCTTGATATGGAGCACGCACTGCTTAGCAACAACTACAACATCAGTGTCTTATCAGCATTGTTCTCAGACTAAATCCAAACCACAGCACTGCACCAGCTACTAAGGAAAAGATTAACTCTATCCCAACTGAAACTAGGAGAACAGGCCACTTGAAATTGGATCAGACAACTTGGAGGAAAATGCCAAATAGGGGAAAAGTCTGATCCCTAGGGAAAAAGTCCATTGGCCAGGTGAGAGCAGCTGAGCAGTCACTGAAATGAATTCTGCTCAGTCCAGTCCAAGCAACCACTGCTTTAATTCAGCTGCCTTCTGCAGGGAACATTCCAAGATCTTGTGCTGTGCTCCTAAAACAAGAGGCTGTGGTTAAGATACAGCAATGTAGTGAGTGCTCGCTTGATAGAGGCAGCCTGGCCCTAGATACTTGTCGGCTGGTGTCCTGGGCCAGGCTGTCATGTGCGCAGAGTGGAGCAGTCACAGTGCAAAGTCCTGATGAACCAGGCAGCTTATGCTTCCCATGTACACTCTGTGCATCATTACAGCACAACACATGGTTCACAACAGCGTGAACAACTGACTGTTCAGTGAGGTGTGAGCTGTTGCCAGCTGCTGTACCTCACTTGAATTAGGCTGTTATTTACGCACTGACTCTTTCAGTGCTAGAGAGGCTGCAGATGCTCTGGCCAACACTGATCCTGTAGTCCCATCTTGCCTTTGCCAGATAGAGGAGAGAGGTAAAGAAACAGCTTGAATGCCAGCTTCCCAGATGCAGCACAGAGAGGAGGAATGGTTAAACAAGCTAGCTGAGGCGTATTTGTCCTGCAGTGCCTGGCAGTATGGTAGGAGTTATCTGTTAGTAACCATGAAGCAGAGCAGGCAGAGACTTTAAGGCTTTTTTGTAGGTGTTTGTTTCTACTGAGCTGTATTTAACTGCTGAATTCCTTACTGTGCTGTCAGATAAGTCAGTGTTTTAATATCAACAGGCTATTTAGTCTGCTCGTCTATTGTTATGAACACATTTTTAAGGAAGCTTAACAGAAAGCTGGTTGAAAAACTGCATAAACCAGTACTTTAGCTCAAAATGATAAAACTAAGAGAGAAAAGTGACTTGAGATTTATTCAAACTGCAGTATAGTAGTAATATTTAGTGTTTTGAAATGGCACAAGTATTTTGTATTTGGAGTAACTGAAACTGGATGCAGCATATACACCTGTGAGTCAGTTAACAGGCAAAACATGATCCATGAAAAGCAGGAGTCCAACGTCCCAAGGTTAATGGCTAGCTAGCTTTGGCTCTGGAGATTGCATCAGTGTGAATGGTTTGCCAACATCTGACAAACTCCACGTGGAGTTGTAAAAGGCAACTGACTCTTTAAATTTAGAGCTTAACGTAAATGCTAAGCTCTCTGTTGTAATTTGAATTAACATAATAGCATTGAGAACTGTAAGCTTTGCATCATATGTAAAAGCAAGTTTAAGTACAAGTGAGGGAACACTTGCTGCAGCACAAAAATAGCCCAATCCCGCATATCAGTTTAGAAAACACACTACAGTCAACAAGCGATAGGCACTTCTGTCTTGCATTACAATACTTAATCCACAAGTGATGATGAAACAGTTAAAGCTTGCAACAGTTTTAAACTTCAATCTTACCAGTGGGTGTAGGTTAACTCAGTCTTTCCAAGCTTCCTAACTCCTCACCCTTCCACACACACATTCTTTCATGTTAAAAAGCTATATAAAACTTAGTTATCTGCTGTGGTATGGGATCGTGGATTGCTCCCATTTCCCATACTCCCTTCTCTGTGGCTTTCCAGGAAGAGCTTTGTATTGCTGTTGCTTGCACTTCAGCAGAAAAATACACTATGTAAGGTAACTTCTGCCATGAAAGTGTCTTCCAAGCAAGGTGAGAGTAGTGTTACCCACTCCTGGGGACTACTGGGTGCAGCTCGGAGTGACTACTAAAGACCTTGCAGACTTCAGGCCCAGGAGCCCCCATGGAGATTCACCTGCCAAGCTGTAATAGTCAAATCCTCATGAGAGATTGTTCTGATTATGAACAGGAGACTGGTCTAGGACATTGTAGCAGTGGGATCTCTCGGATGGGTCCCTCTGCTTAGGAAGACCACGCAAATTCACATAGCTCCTTTAGTTAAAGAGTATAAAGTCTCTTTTACAATTTCTTTTTGCCTAAGCAGCACAGGGACAAGCAGTTACTTCCCTCCCACAACCGTTCTCTGATATTTAGTAACACACTTCCCAAAGCTCATCATGTCTTCCCTTATTACTGTAGCAGGAGACATGGTATGATGCCACAGCTCAGACATAAACTGTAATCGTGCCCTTCTGTCCCTGAATAGCTGATGCTTGCCTGTAGAAGCCACAAGAGCATCAATCCACCTTCCACCACACCATCTTCTTCCTGCAACACATCAAGGTATTCGCCCTTGCAAACACTGTCGTAGTCCTGAACACACCACACGTCCCTTCATTTCACTAGCCCATGAACGAGAGAACGCACAAGGAAGGGAACATGACTGCCTGGAAGAGTTCCTCTGCTCTCCTCTGCTCTTGTCTAGTTTTTGTGGAAAGATGAATTAAATGCTTAATAATCCTAGCGCTTGGAAGAATAAAGCAGGAGAGACTGTATCCAGTGACATGCTCAGATATTCCCTATAGTTAAAAGAAAAATAAAGGGGGCAACATCTGGGTACCAGTCAGTTCAGAGATGAACAGTGGATATTCAAGGCCAGGTTGGACAGGGCTTTGTGCAACTTGGTCTAGTGGAAAGTGTCTACTTGTGGCAGGGGGTTGGAACTAGATGAGCTTTAAGGGACCTTCCAACCCAAACCATTCTGTGATTCTATGTTAAGTTAGAAAAGAACAAACCACAAAACATAACCGCGGTTAAAAAGCCCACACAGCACACTCTGGTATTTCACCAAACTCCCTGCAACAGTAGAAAAGCTTAAGTGCAAAAACACAGATTTCCAAAAGCTCTGAAAGTGCTTTGGAGTCCTGACGGGTACTCAGCCCTTGGCTTTTGTATCTCTCATCACAATGTCTTCATGAATATCCAGCTTGGCCTGTACAGTCTTGCAGCCTTTATCAGAGTAGATTTTCTGCTCTTTTGGGAAGAATGTCATCTCATCAGCCACTGCTTGAACGATGTTCTCATCAACAGCATAGCCACGGGCTATCATTTCAGCCCTGACACACATCTTCACATGCTTGTGCTCCAGGGGCAGGAAGGGGACAAAGTAGTCTATGAGGTTCCTGTCAATGAGGCTGCTGTGCCACAGTCCACCTGGGGAAAAAAAAGAAATACAGGAGGGAGTTTCTCTAAACTTGAGCTGCATAAGAGAGGATCCACAGACTGACTTCACAAAGCAGTTTGTCTCAGCCACTGCCCAAAGAAGAAAAGATGCCCATTAGCTGGAGGGATCGGACTGATGTACCTTGCAGGTGCCACTGCTACCCTCAGTGTGCATGCAGAGCAACTTCTGTGCCACTTCACTAGAGTGAAGAGACAGAAGGGCATAGGGCTAGGGCACTGTAGGAAGATGGGGTCAGAGGAAGCAGGGCAGGGTCAAGGTAGGCTGCAGGAGATTGCAGAGGTGAGCCCTGTGTTATGAGTAAAACGAATTTCCCATTTTCTGAGGACAGTGACTTACTGTTCTTGTTATTGAAGACTCCTACAGATAACATGGGCTCCAGGTCTTTCAGCTGAATCTCCTCCCTGCGCTTTCCACTTGCCCAGAAGTCAAGAGCTGCTTTATTAATTAAGTCACCACCTGCATTGCTGTTCACAAAAGGAAAACACACAGTGGTGAGTACGGATGCAGCTGGAGCAGCATTTCTGTTTCAGCTGGTTATCCACATTGCTCATCTTCCTGATGTCAAATCAACAAAACAGTACACCCATCCCAGAGAACCTCCCCAAAATGTGAACTCTCCTACGATCTGTGTTCTGGGTCAGGCTCATGAGCTCAGCACTCTGTAGTGTTCTGCTGCATGGCATCAGACCTCCTCCACTGCAGTAACAGGCCCTCCTCATAGTGTTCCTCTTTGTCTTCACAGAGAGGGTCTTCACTCCAGTGTTCTTTGAGTGAGGTCCCATGGGAATACCTTTATCATCATAAACACAGATTTATCTCAAGATCTGAAAATGACTGAATAGGTGCTACAGACCTGAGGAAGATGAAGATAGCTTTCCTGTAGGACACCCCGTCAACCTGCTCATAATAGTCTAAGAATGGCTTGATGGCATCGATGAGACCTGGATGCATTTTGTCCATCTCATCAAAAATGAAGACAGAGTGGGGACAGGCACTGACATTGCCCCGAATCCAGTTCTGCAGCTGTTCCTGGAAGAAGAGGTTGAAAAACACTGAAAAATGAGGCCTCTTCCAGATGTACTGTGAGATGCTTGTATGTGACACACACTAGGGACACCTTTTCAAACGTCAGCAACCCATGCTCATCAGTTATGCTTTTTCCTGAAGAGAGAACCATAAACTCTGTGACTGATTCTTTGGATATGCAATACTGAATTTAAATGTGAATTCTTTTTCTGCTCACAGAGGAAAGACTTTCTAATTTTAATGCTTAGTGTATGGAAAAAGATACAAAACCCAGGCTTAGATGGGAAGTCTTGTAATGAGAAAGCTTCTTTTTACTTGTTTTAAACAAATCAGTGTTTTGTCTTCCATACAGAAACCACACTTTTGGGTACCTTCAAACATTAAAACATGAAGATGAGAATTCTCCAATGCCAAGGAATGAAGTGACTTGAAAAATGTCTCATGCAGCTACACTTCCACATTGCACAGTGTGTGGTGGATTGACCCAGCAGCAGCTAAGCCTTTTCCCCCCACTTTTTCCTCCTTCTATCCCAGTTTTTATTCAGCTTTTTATTTTCTTCAGTTTTTATTGCTGAGCATGACAGCTTATGGTGTGGAATAACCAACCCTGCGGCTGACTGGGATAAGCTATCCTGGCTGTGTCCCCTTCCCAATCTCTTGCCCACCCCAGCTTGCTTGCTTTGAGTGGAGGAAAAAAGCAAGCTTTAAGGCTGTGCAAGCACTGTTCTGTAACAGCCAAAACACAGCTGTGTTATCAACGCTGTTTTAGCCACAAACGCAAAACATGGCACTGCAGGTGCTGCTGTGGAGAAAGTCACCTCAATCCCAGCCAGCCAGGAGCCTTTCCTAACAGCAAGCACGGCAGAAATCAGCAAATGGCATTAGTGAGAGGGCAGCACTACGAAAGTACTTTCAGTTCAGATTCCGTTGTATTTCAGTGCCTTTCTCTTTCACTTCCTGCAGGCAATTCCCCATCCACTTATCCTAAGCATCAACTCCGGCAATACCCAGCTGTACACCTCCACCTGCCAGGTATCTGGGGGACACCATGCAGCATAACCCCCCTGCCTTTAGGGACTCGGGGTAACTGGATTACCTTGTGTCCCTCCTCACCTTGTAGGTCTTGACCTGGTCGTGGTGGGGGAAGTGCAGGGTGGCCAGGAAGAGATGGACGAACTTGCTGCGCAGGCCGGCGGGGTGGACGTGCTCCGCCAGGATCTGGCTGAGGAAGTTCTTGCCGGTGCCAGCCCAGCCGTGCAGCGAGAGCATCAGCGGCTTCTTGGGGCTGGGGTTGTTGCTGAAGCCCATCACCGCCTTCAGCACCACCTCCTTGGCCAAGTGCTGTCCGAAGAGCTTGGTGTCCAGCTGCAACTTCAGCGCTGCGGGGAGAGGGAGAGCTCAGCATCGCCTGGTCACCAACCGGTGCCGGTCACCAGTGGATGCCGGTCACTGGCCACACACCGGGCGAGCTCAGCAGGGCCATTGCTGGGCACGGGGCTCAGCAGAGCCTGCCCCGCGCAGTGACCGGTTACCGGCCGAGCTCCGGGACA